ATGGAGGGAAATGGGACCAGTTAGGATAACCTTCCCCTGGCCGTGGGGAAGGTTAGCTTGAAGCTGTGGTTTAGCCATGACTCACCGTAGGGGGGGGGGGGGGGGGGGGGGGGGGGGAGGCTCTTACTACTCTCTACCTCTTCAGAGAGCCACCTGAAGGGCCCAGCCCCAGCTGTCACTTCCCCAAGAAAGACAGGAAAGGGAAAGAAGGTGAAGGGCACATGCCAGGTGTCCTGGTAACTGACGGCCACTCCACATGTCTACTTAGTCCAAGGCTACGCCCAGCTTCAGGGAGGCTGGGAAACATGGTTTGTATTCTGGGCAGCTCTGTGCCCAGCTAGAAATCAGGGGTGTCTTTATTGAGGAAGAAGGAGAAGAGTGGATGTTGAGGGGCAGCTGACAGGCTCTGCCATACAGCGCATTAAAACCATCTGCTAAAAACAAGTGTCATTTATATCCAGGTAAGAAATATATACTTACATAGTCACAGTATTGGGAGAGGTAGTGTGGAAATCATATTTTAATTGCTCTAGGAAAGTAAAGATTAGCTATGAGTACTTCAAACGTAATCTTTGAGAAACTGAATTTTTGATGACTGAATTTTCTAAAAGTGGGGCACACCGAGGCGGGGAAGACACATAAATGCTTCGGTGTAGTTGTCTGTTGGAAAGTACCGTAGAGAATGTGTTTAGGGAAGAAAGATGTTTTGCCACTGAATGGTTTTGCAGTGTGACATGCTTTTTCAGATGTATTCTCAAAGGTTCACCTGATGATATACATTCAAGTCTGGAGTAGTAACCCTCTCTCAAAGATAACAGCATCTCTCCTTGAGACCAAGTCACCTGAGACCTCTTGCAGCTGCTGGCTTCCCCCAGGGCACGGACACCAGGAAGCCAAGGTTTCGAGGAGACTCTGGCTCCAATTTTTAGTCCTACTGTAGTAAATGCAATTCTTTAGACCCTTGTGAGGTCCACAGTTAGAATGTCACCAAATTTTCAGGCTTAAAGTTGAACAAACTCATTCAGCAACCTGTACATCTTTTTGAACTCTAGATTGAAAGCCTGTTAAAATGTTCCTTAAGACTTGCCCTAGCTGGTTTGGCTCAGTGGATAGAGCATTGGCCTGTGGACTGAAGGGTCTCAGGTTTGATTCCAGTCAAGGGCACATGCCCTGGTTGCGGGCTCGATCCCCAGTGGGGGGCAGGCAGGAGGCAGCCAATCAATGATTCTCTTCATTGATGTTTCTATCTTTCTCTCCCTCTCCCTTCCTCTCTGCAATCAATAGGAATATATTTTTTTAAATGTTCCTTAAAACCTATAAAAGGTGGACAAGAACAAGAGGTAGAGTTGGGAACTGAGGCTGGTGGGGCGGGGCGGGGCAAATATCTCAGGGTTAGGAAAACGGAGTAGAGGCGGCCCCTGAAAATACTAAAAATGTTCTTTCTCCGTCCCATCCCTTTGCCCCACCCCCTGTCTTTTACCCCTAGGCCTGCTCTGCCTGAGAAGAAGGTGGCTGACCTCAGCACTCTGAACGAAGTGGGCTATCAGATTCGGATTTAGGCAAGCCATACCAGCCGGCCAGAGGGCTTCTGTGGTGCTTCTCTCTGCACTTTACCCAGCATCTTCAGGAGGAACTGCAACTATTTATGAAGAACCTGTGGATTTTATTTTTAAGGATTCACTTGGAAATAGAATCTGAGTGGGTGGTAACAACGTAAAAAAAAAACTCACAAAGGGGCAACCATGAAAAGGCTAAAGTCATAAACCCCACTGGGGTTGGACTGTCTCCCTCACTCCTGATGGAAAGGATAATACTGCCACTGTAGTTCTCTATTTTTCCATTTACCCGCATTCTTTTACTTGCTTTCACCATTATCCCTCACCAAGTAAATGTTTCTGAAACCCTCCCTCCCACTTTTGATATAGTAAGGTAACTCAATCAGTATTAATGTTTTTTGCAGCAATAACAGAGGCAAAGATTGGTGGGTGTGTTTTTTTAAGCCGTCAATATTACCTCAGCATTTTGACATCAGATATGCAAGCTTAATGGTGTTTTGTGTTTTATATATTCTATTTGTATGGGTTCCCCAATATTTCCCATGGGGACCGCCACAAAGTTTGGAATTCTTTCCTGGTGCATACATGTGATGAGATTTAAGGTATTATATGCAGGTGTTTTGCTACAAAGCACTGAAATTCTTCTGGCAATACGGGAAACCATTTTTAGGATCTTGGAGTCACTTCTTTCTTAAAGCATTCACTGACAGCAGCTTTTGTTCTTTCAAAACAAAACAAAAACAGCACAGTGAGAGCTAGTCTATGTTCTGTCACTAACATTTAAACTTTGCAGCCTCTACAAAAGTAGAAGGGATCACGCAGTACTGGGAAAATTTAGCAGTATGGCAATTACCTCTAATAACAAAACTCAGAAAGGCAAAGAAGCCAGGCATGAAACAGCAGGTCTTCAGAAACAGATCATCTTTCTTCTCACATTTCATCTGATCCTTAAATTCTGAGCTGGGCCTTGATTCTGAAGGACTCACTGTTGTGAGAGACGTGTTCTGATGTCTTATATTAAGACCAAATGGGGTGCGAAGGGATTATTTTCCAGTACCTCGCTTTTCAGTATGACCTCATGACATTTAGGAACTGGTATTGGGAAAATGCAATGAATTAGAGAAGCACGGGACCTTTTTGTAAATGGAAAAGTCTTCAGGTCCCACGTTACACCGGAAAGCGTGACTTGGTCCATGAAGCACAGTATGACTATCTGGCCTGCACATGGTAGTTATGGTGACTTCCGGCTGCAGATCATACAGCATAACTCCAACAGCATCCCAAGTCTGTATGTTATCAATATCAGGTGTACAGCTTCTATTTCATTTGTTTTATCTTAGTAACCACGCCAACTCATGAGACCAAAAGGCAGAGTTAAGTGAAGTCCGCTAGTCAGCAAAAGTGTTAGTTCAGTCTCAGGGCTTCCCTCTGGCTTTGACGAGGTGATTTTAGGAAGGGTTAAAAAAAGATGAGAATCTGCTCATTCAGATTCTTTACCTCTGAGGGTGACATGGAGAACAAAAGAACTTCATTCTCTAGCCATCTGCACATGAACTTGTTACCCTCAAAGTCAATGTTATGACTGGAAAGTATTGTTTTCTAGGAAAAGAAGGAAGTCTAATGTCTTTACATACACAGGAGCAAGTAGGTATACATCTCAATTAAAATATAGCATTAAGTTAACAATTCTGAACTTAATTGCTTCAAGGATATATTATCAGTCAGCAGAATTTAAAATGAGTTATCCTTGTATATCTTCCCAAGGCAAACCCATTTGCAGCCCATGGCCACGTGCATTTAGAGTACTCAGTAAATCATTTCATTCTCATGCCGAAAACGATACTATAAATCTGAAATTTTATTATATATAAGAAGACTACTTATAACATTGCAATCGTTCTAAGAGCTTGGAATAGGATTTTCTAAGCATTACCTAAGTACTGTCCCAACTAAAATACAAAAAGTCCATAGCTACCCAGCTTCTTGTTTCCTACAAAAAAGAGGAAAGTAGGGATATAAACTGTTTCTATTATGCTGATGGATAAACCTTAAAACTGCCAATTGACTTGATGATTCAATTTCTTCCATACTAACTTCTTGATTTTAATCATTTCCTCAAAGCAAGAGTTAGTCACAGAAACATGAAAATTCATGGAAGATGTTTTAGTTGTCATTCTATTTTTAATGCCCATGGAATGTTAATTTCTAAAAGATGTGAGAAAGAAACCAAACTTGTAAAGTCTAATGCTGTAATTTAATATTAAGTCAAAACGAACAAAAAAAATCATGGTATGACTTACCTCCCCAAAATTGATTTTGAAACCGGCTACAATTAAAAAAGATAAAAAATGAAACAGAGATGATTTGAAATCTAGTTTTGAAAAAGTTATTTATGTAAGAGAATTTTTATGCTTAAGCCACTGTGGCAATAAATGCAAAGTTTAAATGAATGACAGGAATCTTGATTTTAGACTACATGTTGTGCTGTTTTGAGTACACTTTATTTCAAAAAGTGGTATTTAGTATTTTCTATACACTCTGAAATCATGAACATTTCACTTTTTCTAAGTCAATTATTTCATAAGGATTTTATTAATAGATATTGGTAAATAGAACTTTGGAAATCTTAATTCAGTATTCTTACTATACCCAAGGCTTTTGTAACCTAGTTTTATGTACAACCTTGTACAGTTTTTTTGACATACAATTCAGAATCTTGTTTATTCTCTTGGACTTTGTTCTGGCCAATACATTTTTTTTAAATCTTTAAGGAAAACTGTGATTGTTTTAGTGGGTATTTTTCTAAGTAAATGACAACTTGTACAATGTATTTTAGAGAATGCCAGATAGTGCATGTTTCAAGTTCATGTTTTTCTCATCACTTATATGTTTATACAGCATGAGACTTTAATAAAACCATCCTGGAAACTTAAGGATTGTTTTTCTTCTAAAAATGTGACATGATGTAATTTTTTTCCTTGTCTACTTACTTGTCCTAGTCAACTAGTTTCTCATTCTCTCAGCTTTGACTTCTTCCAGTTTTCAAACTCTACATTAAACATGACTCTATTTTGGCATATCTTCATTCACTTATATTTTAGCATCAGCCTAAGTAATAAAAGCTGAAAAGGGTAATGGAATAGTTTAGAAGAGGCAACAGGCCAGCTTACACAGCTTAGTATACCTTACCAAGAAAACCTCAGACACAGCCCTAGCCAGTTTGACTCAGTGGTTAGAGCACCGGCCCTCGGACTGAAGGGCTACGGGTTTGATTCTGGTCAAGGATTCATACCTTGGTTGCAGGCTTGATCCCCGGCCCTAGTCAGGGAGCCTACAATCGGTGTATTTCAATCTCTGTCTCCCCGTCCCTTCCACTCTCTCTAGTATCAATGGAAAAAATATCCTTGGATAAGGAGTAACAAAACAAACAAAAACACCCTCAGGCACAGATGGACTAGTATAATACTTTATTAGGTAATTTACAGGTACAAAGTGCAAATGACTTGATGGCTGTTTCCCCAACCCCTTATACTCTCTGGATTCTTACATTTTACTCAAGCAAAGGGTTAAAACCAGACTGTCGCTAAATTAAAAAAAAAAAAAGGTAATAAAGGACAAGTTTTCAAACATGACTATTATCTTGATATCAAAGGAATAATCAAACTAAAATTTCATTACTCCACAACATCCCTTTCCATTGAGAAGTTGGATAGTACAGAACTTGAGGTTGTGGGAGACTTAGTTTCAGCAAACAGCCAGATTCCATTGCTTTTGGCAGGTAAATAGTAGGCTCTCACAGAGTTACCAACTCTTCTAACCAAAACAGACAAGTGGATAATTAGTTTTAGTGAAGCTTTAAAAACTTGTGAAAAAGTTACATTGACCTTTTTGGCCTCCAGTCCTACAAACTAATACTTCTTCATTCTATAAGATAAAGGAGAAAGCAATTTTATGGATTAACTCTATAAAAGTGAAGCACTTGAAAAGGGCCTAAAAATCACAATATATTAATCAGGATATGAAAAACTGAATTTCCACAGAGGTTTTCAGGGATGTTAGTCTGTCATTAATGACTATATATATATATTTGTTAGTAAATTCACACAGCAGAAAGCAGTAATCAAGGAATTTTCATTTTTCTTTCCCAAATACTAAAAGGGGATAATTATACTATCTGCTGTTATTATTTGATAATGATAATATCTGCTAATTAGGACAGATCAGAATATTCTGAAAACGGTGACTAGAAAATGTGGAAAATCCTAGAACTATAGTTAATACCATAAATAAAAGAGCCCCAAAGTGAAAAATTAAACATTTAAAAGTATTTTCTTATTACAATTTTTACTAGTCAGATCCTTATAGCCCACATGCCTTTTGGGGTATTCATCTATTTTTTTTTTTTTAATAATGGCAGTACAAAATACAGAAACTTTTAAAGTCCAAGACTATAAAGTAACTACTGCTTTCTAATTTAAAGTGAAGCATTATACTAAGAAAACTCACCGTAAAAACTTTACTAATTCAGTATAATTCAATATAAAATTATTCGGTAAAAATACACATAATTCTTTGATTACCATGTCTAAAAAAAGAGAAAATTTTCTTTTTATGGTTTAAAATTTTTGATTCAAACACATAGAGCCAAATGCAGAATTAATTATTAGACCCGCTCTTAACCACTTCATAAAAAATGTCAGGACTATCTCACACTGCTACATCATGTTAAAACACATTTTAGAAACAAAACACTGAAACAGTTAAAATTACTAAAGAATATTAGATCTCCAAGTCGGTATTTACCCACTAGATTTTTGCTGGCTTCCTCAAATTTCTGAGGCAAAACAAAAATAATCTTATAGCTGCCACTTTGTTCCAAAGACAAGTTTCCTAATAAAATAAATGTCTACAGTATTAGTTCACTAAAATAAAATCTTCCCTAACCCAGAGATCTTTTCTTGAAACTGAATAGAGAAAAGAAAAAAAATTGCTAGGGAAATGAAGACATAACCCCAATCTGCCTCCTATAATGGTCTGTCTGTTACAGGATGGAAAAGTGGGCTTGTGTAGTCTTCATCCCACTAGTTATGGGACCTTTTACCCCAACAAAATGTAGATATATTACATGTCCCAGGATAGTAACAAGATGGATTAAACAATCTGTACAATTTTTAAAAGCATTATCAAGCCCCCTCAAAAACACACTGAAATGGTTGGAGACTTGAAAATGACCCAATGATTTCTGAGATTAACTAATTGGGACTTAACAAATTTATGGTCCTCACAATGAAATAAAGCCTTCTGGAAGGGAAATGAGTTGTGGTTTGCAAGAACTCAAAGACACTTTGGGATTCACCATAAAACTTGCCAAAAACATGAAATGGAATTAAGAGGATTAAAGATGCACTATTTTTAAAAGTCACTGTCTATTTTACTAGAATTTAGAATAAAAATATTTACAATTATTTTACAATAAAGAGCATTTGGATATCATTTGTCAGGAAAATATTCTTTCATTATGAAAACAGAAAATTGTTGTAAACTTGTGTCTCTGATATCAGTTCCAAGCATTTAACATAACCTCTTCAGAAACTCCACGGCGCAAAAATAAACAACATGCAAACTCTTAAGAACAACTTTACAGTCTTTGAAAAAGAATATAAATTGCAAAGAAAAGTATATATATAATCAAAGAACAGTCAGAGTTCAAGTCTGAACTTGGCCAATAAAGGCAGATGATCTGAAGAGTTGTTTTCATTTGGAAGTCCATTAACAGTCCACAAGTCTTGTTCTGTAAGAAGTGACAGTCTAGCTAGAAGTTTCAAGCCTCCAACCAAAGCAACTTCAGTTCCTACATTAAAGAAACATATTTCATGAAACTGTCAACAGGTTGTAAATTAATCATACGAAGTCTTTTCTTTCTAAACAACAATATAGAACTTAAGACCCCTCTGGAAGTCTAAATGTGGAACAGTTTTCAGAATATGATAAAAATTTTTACTAATATAAGTTGTTAAAAGAAGTTTTTGGAATATAATTAAGTATTTGTTGAATGTAACCTAATTATAGTTCTCAAATACACAGCAGTTTCAGATGCTTGTTTTTTTCTATTTAAGATATGTTTTCTATTTCAAGTTCTGAAAATAATCCAGAAGAAAACATCAATGTAATAAGAATGTTAAGACTGATTTGGTATTGACAACTACATAAGAAATTTATCCATCAACCATTCTATAGTTGTATAAAACCAGACAGGCATGGTCAAAGCTAAGTAGAAAGTTTATAAGGTGACTGGAGAATAAATTTATAATCATTGCCAATTGGGTCAACAGGAAAAATAAAAGTGGACATGCTCTTAAATGTTAAAATTAGAGGTGTTGGTCTACGGCACACTTCTGCCACCTAGTGAATAGTTCTTGCACGACAACTACCAGAACCTTATTACAAATTCAAAGGAGCATATTTTGTGGAGCTGATCTAGTGGGGAGGAGTAAGCCATCTCTTGAGTATTACTAATAATGTTATCCTCAGTAGGAAGAAAAAACACACAAAAGGGGAAAAGAAAAGTAGCACCAAGAACTGGAAGCGAAAATAGGGAAAATCAGAAAAGACAACAGCTGCCAACATTATGGACTTCCAAAGTTTTCTAAATGTTGTTTTCTGACTTATATGAAACTGCATTTTCTTCTCTATGTTAAATCCTTGGTTAATAAAGTCTTGTTTTCATTGACTCATACCAGGAAATGTTTTATCACCTTTGCTTTTTGAAAACACAGTCACAGACCTCTTTCCAGAAAAAAAAATAGTGTAAGGTCAATATGACAAAACTGTCTATTGTTGGAAGTTTAAGCAAGGTCCTCCAATGAAGGCAGGGTGTGGCAATACAATTTAAGTACAAACAATATGATGTTGCTGGCACAATAAAACAGTAAATCACAGCAAGTAAAACAAAAGGGCAATATGAAAGACCTAGAACTCAGAAGGTGACTGGGCTGGAGGGTAGAGCTGAGGATATAATTCCTAGATAATTTGTTTTGAGGTGTTCCACTGTCTCCATCTTTTTCAGGTGATTAAACGATTATTCAAATGCATTACCAATCTGTCAAATATATTACCAATTAAAAAGTATTTTTAACTTGTAAAGCTAGAACTTTATCTAGATGTTTAGCTAATAACTGCCAACTTCAGCCCTGAGGTTTTAGTTACTGTGTTCTGGGCAGAACTTAAGATTCCATGCTTTCTTTACCTGGCTCCCCAGCAACATCTTTCTTTTCCCCAGAATAGAAAATATAATCCACAGTTATGGCACTTCGGGAATGACAGGTGGTCACTTCTGGAATTCCAGTGTCAGGAAAATAATGCGAATAAACAGATGACAAGCTGAAATGGTGCTGTAAATGTGAAGATAACCTAAATTAAAAAGAAAAAGTGTTTAGCATCTATCAAGTTTTTCATGATTTATAATTCCTCCTATTAAAGCACTTTTTCATTTAATTTCCAGACAAAGCCAGACATTAGGACAGCTTTACTTAAACAGACGATATCACAATTTGGCATTCATGCAGTGATATCAAAACCCATAAACAAGGCTGTGAAGCATGGTGGGGGGGAGCTCAATAATTAACATATGCATGTGATTTATTAATTCTATTCAGAGCCTCCACTTACCAATAAACACACATTCTAAAACAATTTACAGGCATTCCTCATTTTACTGCACTTCACTATTGCACTTTGCAGATGTTGCATTTTTTACAAATTAAAAGGTTTGTGGCAACCTTGCAAGTCTAATAAAGCCAACATTCTTCACCAGCACAGAATATCTTCATTTTTTATCACTTTTTTAGAAGTCAGTTTTGAGGAACTCTTTTAAACTAAAGTCAGCTAATGTCCACTACTGCTTTTCAGAACTCACTTTTCAGCTGTTGCTAGGACTTCAGTTTTATCCAGCTGTGTTTGTGTTGGATCACTGTCTGTAAGAACAAAGAAAACTACATATTTTAATACTGTCAATATACTGTTTTATTCTAGTTTGCCTTAGTACAGTCCTTTTATTCTAGCAACAATATTTAAGACATATCTAGATTAGATACAATGCCTAGTAAAATGTTTCATACTAAAAGCTTTGTTTTGATGATCTCCAAAATTAGCAAACATAAAATGCAAACATTTCCAAAGCAACATGCAAGTAATTCATGCAAAGATAATTTGGGAAGTTCAACTTTAAAAAGGTAAGTTTAGAGCTCTCTGAATAAAGGAATAAGTAAACAACTTCATGTTTTTATAGTATATGAATATTTATTCCTGAGATGTTATCCCTTTAAAATTTTAGTTTTATGTTCAAAGGGAAAGCATTATGAAGAAGACTGCCAAAATATATTGCAAACACTTACCTGTCTTTTCTACTTTTGGTACCTGCTGTACCTCATACACACAGTTCTGTGAGATACCTAGGTTTGGGGGCCAAATTGGAATAGATAAAATTCTTTGTCCCCGTGTAGACTGTTCCTGGCCAGATACCTAAACAAAATTTCAACAGGTATCTTAAGTGAGTAGATTTTAAATAGTTTATGTATTGAAAAGTTTGTTAAATGAAAGGGAATCCAAGAATGATAAATATTACTTTTTATTCATTATATTAAGTGATTATTTGTGCTTATAGGATCTTGTTCAAATACAGTTCAGAAAGCACTTATTTACATGGAAATGGCAATCTTTTCTTATACGTGTTTTTCTCTAATTTGGCCACCTAAATGATCTATCACTTTTGACTAATATTGCCCCTCCTTTTTGCTACCTGCAATATAGTTCCTATTATAGAAAATACTAAGAGAGGTAAACTCTTATAAAGTTTTAAACTATCAAATGTCAGTGGTGAAAAACTTATTTGGTTAAATATACTGAAGATCAAAGGATCAAAAGTAAGCAGAAGAGAGCACAATGGAAATAATGGGATAAATGATACTCAGCTATGGAATTAAAATATTTATCATTATGCAAAGGAAATTATAAAGAAATATTAAATTACTGTTTTGCTAACTGTATTGCTCACATCCAGCATTCCAAAGTCTATTCTGCCACCTTGTGAGTAGTTTCTTATTTATGAAGTATTCGTGTTTGTCAATGTTTCTTTTTTTTCTCTTCCATTTTGGATTTTTTGCAGCCTGCTAATTCCTCCAAGCAGAATGTTGCCACACATAGATGGAAAAGATGAAATTCAACCAAGTGGATAAAAGTAATTATTAGTAGTCGTGGAAAATCAACATAGGTTGGTAAAGTGAGGGTACTGGATCATTCAAGGTTTCAAACAGGCCTGTGATGACTATCCTCACATTACTGTGAACAGAAAGCCAAGTCCACCTCCTAGTAATGATGACGTGAGGACTTACCTTTCCTATGGCAAGTCCTTCATAATTCAATTTTCCGTCCTTTATGAAACTATAGAGCGGAGAACCAGGAACAGAATTAAAGTCCCCACACATAACAATAGGGTAGAAGCTGCCATCTTTCTGATGGGCAACACTGGAAATCTCTGCCAGAAGCATTGCCAATTGGGTCAGCTTAATGTCACCTCGCCTTGGGTTATACAACAGATGTGTGTTAGCTACACAGATTGCAGGAGAGGCACCACTTGGAATTTTGGGCTGCAAGAGTAACACTAATCCAACATTGTCTCTGTCCAACAGAGGAACATCAGGGCGGTAGAATTCCACTGGGTTCACTGATAAAAGTGAAAATTTGGAATGTTTGAAGCAAATGGCACAGCCATCCGGTTTCCTTCCCGTACGAATCTTGTACTCACAGTGATAACCTATTAAAAAAAGAAAAAGAAATTTAAAACAATTTAAACTGGGACTTTTATATATATATATACTAGAGACCCAGTGCACAAAATTCATGCACTGGGGGGAGGGGGTGTCCCACAGCCCAGCCTGCGCCCTCTTGCAGTCCATGAGCCCTTGGGGAATGTCCGACTGCCAGGGAGCAGGCCTAAACTGTCAGTTGGACATCCTTAGCGCTACCTCGGAGGCGGGAGAGGCTCCTGCCACCACCACTGTGCTCGCCAGCAGTGAGCCCGGCTTCTGGCTGAGCGCCACCAGGGGGCAGCTCACCCATTGATTTTTAGAGAGAGTGGAAGAGAGAGGGAAAGACAGAAAGAAATATCCATGTGAGAGAAACATGTTAATTTGTTGCTTTCTGCACATGCATTGACCACAACTGAGGTAAGTGCACTTAACTGGAACACACACACACACACACACACACACACACACACACGGCTAATATTTTTGAACAATGCTTACCAAAGTGTATTTTGCAAAACAGTAATGTAGGAATAAGTGTTGGAATCAAAACAGTTTGGGGCTAGATATAATAGGTCTCTTTATGGACAGACTTCAATCTTAAATATGCTAATGTGTAACATGATGTCATTTGCATCCTAGTAAAAGTCAGTCATGACGCCCTAACCGGTTTGGCTCAGTGGATAGAGCGTCGGCCTGCGGACTGAACTGTCCCAGGTTCGATTCCGGCCAAGGGCATGTACCTTGGGTGAGGGCACATCCCCAGTGGGAGATGTGCAGGAGGCAGCTGATCGATGTTTCTCTCTCGATGTTTCTAACTCTCTATCCCTCTCCTTTCCTCTCTGTAAAAAATCAATATATTTTTTTAAAAAGTCAGTCATGACAAAGACAGCAGGGACTTATAATAACCTACCCACCAAGTACCTCTGATCTTTTTGCTCTAACTCTTCCCTTCTTGCTCCACTCCACACACACTAGTCTGCTTGTCTGCCTTAAGGCACTACAACCTTAGGGCCTTTCCTTTGCTATTTCCTCAGTCTGGAATGGTTTAGGCATGGCTTTTTCATTCACCTCCTTCAAGTCTTTACTCAACTATCACTTTCTCTGATCATCTGTTTACAACTGAAATCTGATTCATTCCACTTCCCTGCTTTTCTCCAGGAAACTACCATTACTTTATGAACTGTTTACACATTTATTTGATTTATTGTCAGCCTTTCTCCACTAGAATGTACACTGCACAAGGGCAGAGACTT